ATATCTTGACCTCTCGAATAACTTACTTTCTGGACAGCTTCTGGATTGTTTTGCAAACCTGCGAAATTTGTTTTATCTTAATCTAGCGCATAATAATTTCTCTGGAAAGATCCCATCAATAAATGTCACCTCATCATTGCACTTACAAAACAATAGTTTCACTGGAGAAATTCCAACATTTTTGAGAAATTGTACTTCCTTGACTTTTATTGATCTTTCCCAAAATAAGTTGATTGGTAATATACCTATATGGGTGGGAGATACTTGGACTTATTTGGTCTTTCTGAGTCTCAGGTCCAATGAGTTCTTTGGTAGTATTCCTTCCAATTTGTGTCGTCTTGCAGACTTACAAGTGTTGGACCTCTCTTTAAACAAGATTTCTGGTGGTATACCAAAATGCTTAAACAATCTCACTGCTATGATTCAAGTGGATTCTGAGTTTGACAGGGCATTTTTTCTTCCATACGAAGGAGGATTTGAGAGTGCATTTGTAACATGGAAAGGAAAGGAGGCCGAGTACATAAATACTCTTAAGCTGGTGAAACTCATTGATCTTTCGAGCAACAATTTAGTAGGTGACGTTCCCGTGGAAATTACAAGTCTTGTAACATTAGTTGGATTGAACCTTTCAAGAAACAACCTATCTGGATTCCTTCCTCTTAATATTGAACGATTAAGGTCTTTGGATTTTCTTGATTTTTCAAGAAACCACTTCTCTGGTGGTATTCCCATTGGTGTTTCTCAATTGGATGAACTTGGAGTGTTAGATTTGTCGTACAACAACTTGTCTGGCAAAATTCCACAAAGCATTCATTTACAAACTTTCAATGCTTCTGCATTCGAGGAAAACCATGAACTTTGTGGCCTTCCACTTGCAAAAGCTTGTCCAGAAGATGAAATTGCTCAAGTTCCAAAGATCAGTTATAATGTTGATAATGAATTGGTTGCTTGTAAAGATAGCCATTTACAAAATCCGTCTCAGAGAAGCACCCAAATTTGTAAAATTTTAGCTTGTGCGATATTGTCTACTATCTAACTTTTGCAATGCCAAAAAGTTAGATGCTATTATTTTACCACTATATCTAATTTTATTCTATAGTAAGTTGTATTAGATCTAATACATATGTGTGTTAATAAAATATTTGTTTATAAGCTTTGGTATATAAGCTCGTAAAATATCAATTAGATCATTTGTCAGTTATTTCCACTACGGGCACCACACCCAAACTCTCCCATTCCAATATCCTTAGGGAATATGAGTAGTTTAACGTCTTTATATTTATATGGTAACCAACTCACAGGGAAAGTGCCTTGTCGTGCATCATCTTCCTCCTTAACAGACTTAGATCTTTTTGGTAATATTTTTAATGGTACCATTACCCAATGCATAGGAAGCCTTTCCAAACTCAAATATTTGTATCTTGGTTCAAAAAACTTTGAAGACATAATCATTGAATCCCGTTTCTCTAATCTTTCTCAATTACAAGAGTTATACTTATCTTCCAACCCAGGCATCTCCTTCAATATCAGTTTAGGATGGAATCTTCCTTTTCAACTGACATATGTATCTTTAGCGGACTGCAAAGTGGGTCTACATTTTCCCACATGGCTTAGAACACAAACGAGATTAGAGGATCTTGATATCTCTAATGCTGAAATTTCAGGCACCTTCCCTGATTGTTTTTGGGAGTCAAGTCCAAAATTATGGATTTTAAATGTATCACATAACAATTTTCTTGGTGTCCTTCCAGATTTGTCACTAAAGTTCTCTACTTTTGATTCGATAGATCTGAGCTTTAATCATTTCGGTGGTTCTTTACCAATTTTGCCTCTGAATGGATATGTAGTTTAAAGTCTTTATATTTACAAGTTGAGATTCCAATATCCTTGGGGAATCAGTTTAATGTCTTATATTTACTTGATAACCAACTCAAAGGGAAAGTGCCTTGTCCTACATTATCTTCCTCGTTAACAGACTTGGTTTTTTCTTATAATATGTTTAATGGTACCATTACCCAATGCATAGGAAGCCTTTCCAAACTCGAAGCTTTGTTTCTTCGTTCAAACAACTTTGAAGACATAATCACTGAATCTCATTTCTTTAATCTTTCCAATTACAAGAGTTGTACTTGTCTTCCAACCCAGGCATCTCCTTCAATATCAGTTTAGGATGGAATCCTCCTTTTCAAATGACACGTGTATCTTTAGTGGACTACTAAGTGGGTCCACATTTTCCCACATGGCTTAGAACACAAACAAGATTAAAGGATCTTGATATCTCTAATGCTGAAATTTCAGGCAACTTTCCCGATTGGTTTTGGGAGTTAAGTCCAAAATTATGGAGTCTAAATGTATCACATAATAATTTTTGTGGTGTCCTTCCGGATTTTTAGCTAAAGTTCTCTACTTTTGATTCGATAGATCTGAGCTTTAATCATTTCAATGGTTCATTACCAATTTTGCCTCCGAATGGATCTGTAGTGGATTTATCGAGTAACAAATTTTATGGGTCAATTATCAATTTATACAATGAAACTGATTGCTATTGGGAATATCTTGATCTCTCGAATAACTTACTCTCTGGACAGCTTCCAAATTGTTTTTCAAGCCTACCATATTTCAAGCGCGTAAACAGTTTCACCGGAGAAATTCCAACGTCGTTGAGGAATTGTACTTCCTTGACTTTTATTGATCTTTCCCAAAATAAGTTGATTGGTAATATACCTATATGGATGGGAGATACTTGGACTAAATTGGTCTTCCTCAGTCTTAGGTCCAATGAGTTCTTTGGTGATATTCCTTTAAGTGTTGGACTTTTCTTTAAACAAGATTTCTAGTGTCATACGAAAATGCCTAAACAATCTCACTGCTATAATTCAAGTGGATTCAGAGTTTGATAGGGCATTTCATCTTCTATACTATGGAGGCTTCGAGAGTGCATTTGTAACATGGAAAGGAAAGGAGGCCGAGTACATAAATACTCTTAATTTGGTCAAACTCGCTGATCTTTCAAGCAACAATTTAGTAGGTGATGTTCCTAATGAAATTACCAGTCTTGTAATGGTAGTTGGATTGAACCTTTCAATAAATAACCTATGTCGATTCCTTCCTACAAATATTGAACGACTAAGGACTTTGGATTTTCTTGATTTTTCGAGAAACCGTTTCTCTGGTGGTATTCCTACTAGTGTTTCTCAGTTAAATCAACCTAGAGTGTTATATTTGTCATACAATAACTTCGTGGGCAAAATTTCACAAAGCATTCATTTACAAACTTTCAATGCTTTTGCATTCGAGGGAAATCTTGTACTTTGTGGCCTTCCACTTACAAAAGCTTGTCCAGGAGATGAAATTTCTCAAATCCCAAAGACCAATGATAATGCTAATGGGATGAAAACCCCAAAAGATGAGGACAACCTTATCAATGATGGATTTTACATTAGTATGGCAATTGGTTTTATTTTTGGATTTTGGGGAGTGTGTGGAACTTTAATGTGCAATAACTCGTGGAGCATTGCATTTTTCAAGTTGTGGAATAGCGTAATGGATTGGTTGTCCTTAAAGATAGCTATCAGTAAAATTTGACTCAAAGAAGCATATCACGAATTTGTAAAATTTTAGCACGTGTGATATTGTCTATAGCTAACCTTTACAATGCCTAACTCTCAGATGTGCTTGCTTTTCAATTGTATCTAGTTGTATTACATTTACAGTTGTACGATGTAATACATATACGTGCTAAGGAAATATTTGTGTATTTTGTGAATCCTTGTAATTTATGAGTTCATAGTTCAATATGTATTCATCATATGATTAACCAATAAAACATAATATAAAAGAACGGATATAACACTGAAAATAGTGAGCATAATATAAAAGAATGGATATGCCAAATCAAATGGATGTGTGATATATTTGTTTGGTACAGAGAAGTAGACCAGATTGAATTAAAGTAAAATAACTGAATAATGCAACCAATATTGTGTCTAATGTAGTAGTTCTTTAACCTTTAATGTTCATTGCTTCTTTTGACAAAGAAAAAAAAAACAAAACACCACACACACACACACACACACACGCAAACTATGAGTAAATAGAATACCATAAAAATAGGTTTCCAAAAAAAACATTTAAATAAATCTCTAGTTAACTTGGTTTCAAATCTCAATGTTAGACAACTAAATGCACAACACTACTTGTTAATGGAAAAATCAATTACGGAGATTCAATTTATCAAATTAGACATAATTTGAATACTACCAATATTTGGTTGTTTCTAATGGTGAATACATTTTTCCAAAATCGACTCGATGAAATACAAAAATTCATGAATAACATCTTACCACAGAGAAAATAAAGATAGCCCCAATAACAATTCTAAAAAATTGGAGTATGTTCTCAAGAACAAATGTAGCATGTTCGTTAAGAATCTAATGGTCAAATAATTCGACTCCACTGAGAGTCTGGGATCTAAGTTATATATGTTGATTTCATGAGAACAAGCACCATTCCTTTTCCACACCAAATCCACATTGCAAGTGCTTCTGTTTCAAGTTCCTAAAGCCCTACTAATAACACTAATGAGGTCAAATAAATATTTTCTTGATAAAATGCCTCTACATATAACACTGAAATTTTCAATTTTGTTTTAAAAGAAAGAAACCAGGCCAATGATTTTTATTGCTTGATGAAATGAGAAGCATGGAGATAGGGGAGGCATGGACAACAATGCATTTAAGACTCTCAAAGTACGCAATCTCCAATAATCTCCAGATAACCTCATCAAAGTTCAACAACCCATCAACTCTCTCCCTTCAACCCAGTTATGGTTTTTGTGTTGTGGGTCTGTGTACAATTAAAGCAATTGAAACATTTTGCTTTGACAATGTCAACATAGAAAAATTTAAGTAAATGACTTGAGTTTATTTGAGCTTTCTCCATGAAAGTATGAACTGCAAATTCTTTCAAACTCTACAATAATTCATTCTTTGTTTTCCAATTGAAGACCATGTCAAAGATTGAATATAGGACGAGAACAAATCACCGTTTGGATGTGGGTTCAGATGAACTTGACACTCTTGATTCTTAGTTTCTAAAAATGTTACTAAACAAGAAAAGCAAGAAATGAGTAAGGTATTGAACAGCTAAATTATCACACAATATGGACACTTGCATGAAGTAAAGAAACAATCTTAAATAAGTATGCCGGGCATAACGTATATCTCCATGAAACGACACAACTCAAGACTCTGCAAATGAATGTAAATAAAGAAAAAGATAAGTTTACTTGCCTAGATAAAAGATAAATAAAAATCATTGTGCCTCCACAAAGAAAGGGATGCATATAAATTTTATTGAACACAATTTTTTAAAATATTTACAAACCAATTAATTGTCCATCCATTGCTCTCCAATTACACAAATTAATACACAATATTTTAATTGAACAATTAAATACAATAAACACATAAAATTAAATATAACCACATAGTAATTCAAAAGGTAATTAACACTCCAAAAACTTATTGTCTAAAAAATAAATATTTAAACCTACCAGGAGACTGTATAATCAACAAATAAATCAGGTTTCAAAAATTGTACATTTATTAACAATGACAAAACTTGAATTTGCATTTATGTTCTTTGAAAAGACAACGAAAAGCATCTTCAAGTCAAGCTATAAATCAATAGTATGAATATGTTTTCTATTTGCACAAGAGTATTGACTATTCTGAGATTGAAATATTCATATGCTTGATATATCAGATCAAAAGCTTTAGTATGGAATTATGAATTTATAGATACTTCGATGTGAAAACCTCACCAATTGTTAAGCAGGTTTACAACTCACACAAAACATCCTGACAAGTAATAGAATAGTCATTTATACTATTTGAACAAATTATATAATCACGAGGAAAAGAAAGTGTAACAATTAAGTTTTAACTGAGATTAACAATCCCATTTTTCAAATTTAGAAAGAGACAATGAATGGGTAATTATGAATATGTGGTTGAAAGTAATAACTAAAAAAAAAATCTATAGAATGTATACAAATATAAGCTAAATTTGGCCGGTGAACGAAATAGAAAAGAAAATCTAGAAATCAATACAACGACATTTTGTGTAGAAGGGTGCCAAATTTTTTTTAAAAATGCATCATTATTACATCACTAAAGCGAGTCATTTTTGTTGAAACTATCAACAATTGTACTTTGAAATTGAAGTAGGGTTTTAAGTTTTATCTTCAAATATGCCTGTTTTATAAATCTAGTATTTTTCTAATAAAAAGGGAACATTTATGTCTAATAGATTAAAAATGTTGAAGTTAAATTCAAATAAAAATATACGTCACATACAATTTATCTAAAATTTTATATTTACATGACTTAGGACAAAGTGCAAGTGATTTTAGTGGTGGCAGTGAGTCAAACATCTTTCTAGATCAAGCTCACATTTAAATGAGCTTAGAGTTTAGCCAAGCTTGATTTGTAGCTCGACGAGCAGAATTGAGCGTTCATTGGCCTACCATGAGGTGGACCTCATTTAAAAGAGGGAGTATATATATTTTAAGTTGCATTTAATTTTTTTACAAAGTTTTGTATACTCTCTCTCTCTCTCTCTCTCTAGGCTCATGGTTCGAGTGCGCCTAACCTCTATGCACAATTCATTTACCAATGACTAAGCATGTTTCCAAGGGCTTAGCTCATTGGCATCCTATGGGCCTGCTCGAGAGTTTTATTTTTACCCGTTTTGGGTAGTACCATTTATGAAGGATTTAAAAAATCGGTGTTTGCTATTTTTATTATTATTATTATTATTATTATTTTTTGCACCGATTTAACCATCCAAAATTGGTATAGTGAAAATTTGACCATTTCGCTCAATTTACAAAATCGATGGATTTTAACCACTTCTCAAATTCTCTTCAAATTTTACACTCTACAAAATAATTATTTCAACTAATATATTTTGTTCAAAACTAACTTGTAAGAAAATTTGAACATTTCTCCCAATTCACAAAATCAATGAATTTTGACCATTTCTTATATTTTCTTCTAATTTTACCCTCTATAAAATAATTATTTCAACTAATATATTTTGTTCAAAACTAACTTGTAAATACATTAACTAAAAAAATATTTATAAGTAAAGAATTACTTATAAAATAAAATAAAAATTGAAAAAATTTATTTATAAAGTAAACTTTCAAAACCGTAAGATAATAAACTCCCTTTTTTTTAAAAAAATCACTTTAAAAATAATTAACCCCATTTATTTAAAATTTAAAAATACATATATAAAAAATTACTTTATGGTTTATTTTCTAAATTTAATATCCGTTTGATACATTTATAAATAATTTATTAATAGTAATAGGAAAAAGAATAGTTTTGATTCATAGGAAATGTATTGACAATAGAAAAGAATAGCAAGAAAAAGGAAGAAATCGGAGGAGAATTAGAAATTCAAGGGGAAAGGGGAAAAGGGAGACGCCACAACCAATTTCAATTCATCATAATCATCAAAACTAATGAAATTACATGGCAAATTAGATTTAAATAGTCAAAACAAAACCCTACCTAAAGCGGGTTTGGGTCAATACAAGCCCAATTACATAAATAAGAATTTCAAAACATAAATAAAGTCCAACTAAAAAAAATAAAAAGTAAATGTCCTCATCAACTCTCCCAGGATGGGAGAAAACTCGTCCTTATCGAGTGGATAGATCACAAAAGCTACAATCAAGCTGATACTCCAAATGCTTTAACTCATCACGGTGGACGATCTTTTTGACAAACCAAGTATCAAAACTCCAAACAATTTGACCCCTATTAGTTGGCACCTCTCTCTTGGAATCCATGTACAGTTCAAATCAGGTAGAACGACCCAACAAGCAAAGAAATGCTGAATCTTGCTATCATTGGTCAATAAAACATGTTCATTTAAAATAACATCAATTTTATCTTTATATGCTGTAATAGATGATATTGAAGTAAAAATATCAACAAAGTCAAGTTGGGGGTCTACAAAGCTAAGTAGAAAATGATCATCAAAAGAAATAAAATGGTGTTTGTAAGTAATGAAGTCCTCAATATTTAAAGTGGGGCAGTAGCCAAAATGTGATGAGAGATCAATGACATATGTATTTGGACCAGCATGCTTTATTAAAAGGATCAACACTACATGCTTGCAATATAACATAATCTCTAATATTAAATTCAAAATTTCGCGTATACAAATCAGCTTGAAGTTTATATAATGCATTACTTGCTTCAAATTGTTTATTGATCTCAATATGCAAATCATGAAGATGATAGATAAATGCTTCAGCTGACAACGGCACACTAACATTCAGAGACATGAGAATAAGATCTAACAACCACCTAGACACATAACTATGAACAACTTCAAATGAATTTAGACCTAGAGATCAATTTACGAAATTCTTATCTGTAGTGGAGAATTTTGATTTAATGCTAATCATAGGCAACTGGGTTCTCCAAAAGTGACTAGTAAAATCATGGGATAAGTATCTAGAGTCTCAGGAATAGTCTTGATGCCACCTAAGGAGGTGTCCTCACTATCACCATCAAAATCTTCAAGTTTAGGTTCATATACTAGATCTTTTAACGACTTTTCTATTACATCCTTTCGTTCGTCTATGACTAAGACTCGGTTAGGACATTTGGAAGAGATGTGGCCAAAGTTCGTATAGCTAATGCATAACAAGTGAGAAGTCCTTGAAGTTTCAAAAATTTTACCCTTATTTTCTAAGATT